TGCCCAGAGTATGAGGATGAAAATAAAGATCCAGAGTCCGCTGCATACAAAATATTTCGCCCTGTATCAAGGCAAAGTACCTTGGGATGAATCTGACTGCTGATTTTCCTGATATTTCTTCCATCAGGTGCCATGCTAGCAACACCGCGATATGGCGTCTTTGTTGCCAGGAAAACAAGCTGTTTGGTATCATCCACAGCGATTGACAGGATGAACATTTCCCTCCCTACGGCAACACTGACAGTAGTATGTAATGAGAAGGCTTGGATAGTCGTTGGATGTAAAGAAGCCATCAGCACTTGTCGGAGTGTTGGTACGTATGCCATGGCAGTGACAAATTGTGGGCGTATATGACGATATGTTGAAATGGAGTTGTCATCAAGGTGGAGCACCCGTAATGGAGTTGTCGAACCACTGGTCATGTATGGTGAAACCAGGACATGTGTCTGTTCTTCTGCTTTCACTGTAAGAATATGACTGTGTTATTTATATTTGGACACGCTGTTGGCGTCACAACTGTAAACAGAAGTTCATAATCTGCATGCACCTTACATGGTGCAAATACTTTTCGTATATGGACCAAAATGATTATCAGTTGTAGAACCGTTCTCTGTCATGTGCACTTTGTATCCTAACAACTTATTAATAATATACCATTACATGCACATACATGGTACTGGCTAAAGTGAAACTGAAACTTGAGGAGTGAGGAGACAATGACAGAGACCGCCACCTGTCAACATTTCCAAGCTCAAAGATCCATCCATTAAGAAAGCCTTCCAGATTCAGGTGAGGAACAGAATCAGTGTGCTTAAGGAACAGCAGAACACTGGCCTTCAGCAGTTCAATGAGGTGCTACTGGAAACCTAAGCTATCAAATGACTGCATTAATTAAAAGCGTTTTAAGACTTTATTAAAATACAGACAAGGTAAGATAAGGTCTAAGTGTCTATGTGCTGAATGATACATATCGAAAGTAGACTAGCTTCACTACAGACCTTTTGGCTGACTGGCAGTGTATGTCTTCGACTTTACAAGGTGACTGAATAACAGAAACAAAGGATGGATAGGTTCTGAGATGAATAATATAGCACCTACGTGTACATTTAAAATAGCCTTTATATTTTACCCAGATGTTACTTAATGTATGTTGTGAGCCGGAACTAAATCAAACAAACTGATCGTTAGTTGCCAGATGAGGAAAGCAGATGTTTGTATCGGTTGCCAGCAGAAAGGCGGGATGCTCGAATCGCATTGCCGATGCAATATATGATCGTTACCTACACCACTGACACCTCTGACGTAAATGACTTGCAGTAACTTGTGGATTGGCTGGAGAGCACCGTTTACGCAAATGGCATATGTGGGCACCCATTTTGCGTTTAATGGCGCACTCATCAATATTCCAGCTATGTGGCTCAAGTCTGTAAAAAATCGAGTCTGGATCAGACAATCCAGTGATCAACAATGACATGTGTCAAGTAAGTCAGTGAGCCGGACCACATGATCCCAGCAGTCGTCGCTTAAGACAAGCATGGGTTGCTGAAGAACAGTTCTAACCTGGGTCCTCACGGATGCAATATTCTGACATCTGCCTGTTAAACGTAACACTCCAGCATGTAGCACTCGATTCATGAATCATAACTTTTCCTTCACTAATGACTAAATGTGTAAAATATATTACGGTTCCAAGAAAACAACGTAAATCTCGCAGCCCACCTTGCATCTGCTATCAGGAGCCACATGCTTCATGACCATGTTGTTATGGAGAACTATGAACTGTTCTTGTCGATGGAACAGTTTTCTTCATTGCCTGAGTTTGGTCCTATCGTGTGATCCCAAACCTAAATCCCCTACTTTTTCGCATCTATTGAATGTATTATTTGTCTTTGAGGAAGGTTTGGTAGCCTAGTGGTTTTCATTTTTATCACTCACTCAAGTAAAAAAAATAAGACATTGACCAAAATAGTGATGTGTCTATTCATTTTATTAACACAGAATTACCTCAAGGCATAACTGCTACAGTAAGTTGGGCAGCTATTTGGATTTTGTGTCTATAACTGAATATTCAAGACGAAATGAGGGCAGCTCCAAATCCGGAATAAAGGCTTCCATAAATGTTCTGTGATCCTTTCCACTTTTCAAACCATACTTCGTCCCCAGCAGAGAGATACATGACTGTTGTTATGGAAACAACGCCGTATACTGTCTCTTTTGAGGTCTCTGCATACCCTTTGCCTTTGATGTGGCCATTCTGGACTAGGTATATCTCCAGATATGATTCCACTTGATCTAGCATTACTTGAGCCCAGAAAATGTACGATCCAGACACAGGTGCTGTGAATATACCAGATGAAGCTTCAAATCCGTCGCCCTTGTTGTACAATAAAGTATCAAAAATGAGCTTCCCACCCATTTGCACAGAATGGATTTCCTTCTGTAGACGTACTTCAAAGGCAACGTGTCTTGCACCAGATCCTGGACAAAGATAAACAAAGAAATATGAGTGAGGTAAGGAGTGAAGTTCTAAATTTTCCTTAAACAGGTGTTTGTTATGTCACAGTTTGCTGTCTTCCGAATGTAAGGGGAAACACGAGCGAGCATGGTATGACTTGGAGGTTAACACAGAAATCAATCTTGGATTTGAGCCTAACCCAGTTCAACAAACAGTTTGTGAATGTTGGCCATCTGATGAATGAAGTTCATAATATATACTCGGCGCCATTAAGGAAGGGTCAATCTATTGGTAACACTATTTCTTAAAAGTAAAATATTCATTTTTGTTTGAACTATACCCCTCTTTTAAAGTTTAGACTCACCTGAAACACTCACTTTATGTTATGTATAAATATATGGTTACATTGACGATTGATTTCACCATTAACTTGGGTGCACCAACTGCAAACTTTATGCGGATGAATTGCACGAGGATCATGCATCAAATTGCAGAAAAGCATGTGCAAATAGCATGCACATGAACAGCTGCGTTTTGCTGTAAACGTGTGTTAAGAATTTGCCAATGTTCACTGATATTTATCATTTACTGAACTGATGACAATAATCTTTTCAACGTTACGAATTTGTTTTACAATACATCAGTTCATGTCTAAATAGTACCTTAAAACAGTATGGAATAGTTTCAAAATTTAGTTTAGAACAGTTGCCTGAAGTGGCTCTATTTACACTAGTGAGTCTAAACTTTTGATGCGAAGAATATATACAACTGATTTACAAATTTTCAATATGACAATTTCCACATTGTCAATTTGGAAATCCACCTGCCACTTAATGTCAATGATTTGCACGTGCAAGTCACTGTATCCATGGAAAGTGGAGGACAATACCCGTGCATTGATGCTTTTTCACTGTCGTTCACTGTTCAGTTACCTGTTTAAAGTCGCAGCTTAAAATGAGACTTTTTTGACACTTGCTGAAAGGGGTCATGCTGTAGGCCTTTTTGAATCTGGTCAAACTGAGCAGCAGGTAGCTGTCCGCTTTAATGTGAGTCGGGGTGCTGTTGGTAGACTGTGGGAGAGATTCCAAGCCAATGGGTCCGTGAAATATGCACGTCGATCATGGTTAAGACTGCATTATGTAACATATTCATTTACGCAGCAGACCTTCAGACAGAACTCTTGAATGTTAACAATATAAGGATAACGTGGATCACAATTTGTCAACAAGGGCAACCGGACTCTGCTGTAGGCGACCTGCAGTTCGACCATTACTAACACCACATAACAGGCAGGCACGTTTGAGATGGAGTAGACACGGCCGGTGGAATCAACGTCAATAGTCTCGTGTGCTCTTCACAGAAGAAAACACATTTAATTTGTCCTCCGGTGATGGTCAGTCATTCTTGATTTTGGCTCCTATAGCAGTACCATTCCTGCAAGCTATGCATGGTTTTAATGGTCGACCCTCTTTACTGGCCCGACCTCATAGGGCCACGATTGTCACAGGATTTCCTTAGGCAGCAGGGTGTAGAGCGGATGGAGTGACCAGCATGCTCACCAGACCGCAACCCAATTTAGCATGCCTGGGATGACCTTTGTCATGGGATGACCCAGCGCTAGTGTATCTCCCATGACTCCTCAGAACTCTAGTAGATGAATGGAATGCGATTCCGCAAGCTTTCTGTATGAACTTGATAAGGAGCATGAGAACAAGGTGCACCTGTCTCTTGGACGCGCGAGGAGGGTACAAAAGATGACCGAGTGCTTCATGTTTGTCATTTTCATTTTTTTTACTGATGTTTGCTAGTGCTGTTTGAACTGCTTGTCTGTATGTCACGATATTTCGCTTTTGACAACACATGAAACATTATAATGATACTCTTAGCTCTATTATTTCTCAGAAACGTTTCTTGTTCTATGCTGCATATCATTTGATCCATTATTAATTCCGCCTAGTATATTTCACTGAATCAGTCGATGCATGCATGTTGTGTTAAGTAACAAACTAACTAACAAACAAACAAACAAACAAACAAAGCTAACAACTTTGGAAACAATTTGATGTAAGAATAAATGTTTCGAGTAACATGACACATAATCATCCGTCCTGTGTAAACAAATACAAGTTGAAAGGGAGCGGGACCAATCAACTCAATTTATCCACATAAACTACATATGTATAAAAGACCGCCTCCGTGGTGTAGTGGTTAGAGAGTCCGCCCGGATAGCGGAAGGTCGGGACTTTGATCCCCGGCCGCGTCATACCAAAAGACGTTGAAATATAGTACTTGTTGGTCCCTGCCTGGCGCTCGGCATTGATGGGTACAACAAGGACTGGTCGACTCGGAGTCAGTATAATTTGTCTGAGTGGGGTATTCATGCTTCACTGCGGCATGGTATCTCAGTGGGCTAGCAGATACACATACACACGCATGCACGTCGTCATATGAGCGAAACATTCTCAAATACGACGTTAAACCCAATTTCACCTCACCTGACCTCACATATGTATAAAATGGTTGTGTGAAGAGTATAACTGGGAGGTTACATTGATTTTAACCTCTGACAGTAACACTCATACGTACCTGTCATGTTTGATACGTTGTGCACGAGAGACTGAAGTGTTTGATTAAGGCCATTTATACCATATCTTGATGAGACCAGCTCAGTCTCCAAGGACACCACTGCATGTTTCATGTTTCCCAACGCATCCGAAGTGGAGTTGAGCTTCAGGTAGATCTCCTGTTGTAATGTTTCACGGTTTCCATCTCCCAGGAGAGAAGTCTTGATCCTACTCACTTCTGAAGACACATTGAATTGAAATTCAGTCACATTTGATGCTAATTTCCAAAGATCTGAATTCATTACCAGAACGTCGTTGTTAGCCCTGTGAAGATTCAATTCAAGGATAGCAACTTTGTTTGCAGTTGTCTTCACGTCGGCAGATATTGCATCCAGTTTAGAGGTGTTGACTTGGGACAGCAGGGAATCCAAATTGACACTCTTTACATTAGCCATTTCTGTTTGAAGGTTTCGCAAATCTGTGTGAATGTTGTGTATATTCGCTGTTTGTTGTGAACTCAAATATTTGGTTACAGCTAGATCGCCTTCTACACTCTTCAGGTCTGTGTGGAGAATGCTGAACTCAGTTTCTAGCCTTACCTGGCTGTCGTGGCTTGCCCCAAGTTGAGACTTCAGAGCATCAAGGTCGTTGATTGTTTTATTATGTTCCATTTGCAGGTTATTTACGTGTCTCTGAAGAGTATCCAGAGATGATTCTGTCGTCGCCCGTTTTATCTTTTCATCAGTAAGTTCATCAGAGGTAGATCTGTAGTTTGCCAAAGTTGCGTTCTGTTCAGCCAGCACATCTTGCATCTGAATTGTCATGTTATGAATTGTGTCCTCTGCCATCCTGAGCTCAGATTTGACCTCTCTTAATTCATCTGCGGTCGACTTCTGTTCAGCTAGGGTTAACTGCAGCTGAGACTGAACAGATGACAAAGTGTTTTGCAACATTGTCAAATGTCTCACCATGTCACTGTTATCTACACTGGTTGTAGTAGAAGACGTCAGTTTAACGCCACACAAAAGACACACGAAGACAACTTTAAAAACGTCCATGGCTGCTTTGGTGGTCTTTCCCTTATCTAATGACCCATATATCTCCAGATAGGAGTGTCTCAAATCTGAAGCACTTGCTTAAATTAGAAGTATGATAACGTTATCTGTAAATTGACGGGATAATACACGGGGGTAACAGAGAGAGATTGAAAACTGTGTTGAAATACCGGCATTAGCGTTTTGTGTAATTCACATCAGAATGTTGCCATAACGGAAGGAAGCATTGATTCTATAATTTTTGGTCACTGGCCGGCATATTGAACATTAGTATCTGAAAGTGGTCATGATCTCTTTTCCCACACAGTGTCAATGTTCGCCATTTTGGTTTCTTAAAATCGACAGAGTATAGCGGGACACGGAATACAGACGTGCATACTAGACCATGCGTTATCTACCAGAAGAAACACAATTCTATGAAAAACCAACTGTTTACAATCTTGAAATTGGCACATATTCCACTTGGATATAACCTGATTTCATCTTAACAACTGTCGTGGCGTAAGGGAGGCTACATTTACTTGAAACAATGGAATCCAAGATGGCTTCAATGTTTTCGCCAATCTCTTGTCAACCACTCCTTGAAAGGTATCATGGTCCATATGTTACTGTTAGGAAAGTCAGTGAATAAGTAATTGTTATGAGAGACATTTACATCCGTAAGGCAATGGAGGAAAACATTGCTAGTATTTGATGAGCCACTTCATGGAAAATATGGCAAGGAATTATGGGTGTGAAGTTCTTTATTTTGAAGGACACCACGTTTCGGAGTTCATTCTTACTCATTCATCAGTTGAAACGTCCATGTTGCGCAGTTTGAAAAATTGCCTATATGTTCCTACTAATACTTTTCTCTCCTTTGTTCCCACGGAAAAAAGACACAAAGCGGATTCCATATTCGACGGAATTGGGACGTCATGTAACAATAAACTATGTGTTGTTTTCATACATTCCATGTTAAATATTTTAAAAAGCCAAAGACATTTATTTACTTGTGTTTTTCTCTCGCCAATTTGTTTCCAAGAATGAATCCTAGTGTTCTGAACATTGTCTCGTTTCACTTAAAGGTTTCAATAATAAATGCCTCTAAATGTTCATTTTAAAAAGTTTAAAGCTAAAACTACTTCATGTTAACTTCACATTACAGAGATAAAGCACGACACGAAAGATACACGTCAATAGATTTCTACAAAATGGATCTAATGGAAAGGCAGCAGTGTATTTTTGAAGTAGTCAAGGTTTCAGTTATATATTGTGTTCAATGATGTTTTGGGTGATTGTGTTGTGAACACAGTGTAAATACCAGTAAGTATATGAATCTTGGTGCAAAGAACTTAATATATGTTACTATTTGTTTGGATTTCATGCTAGTTTTCAATTGCTAACTTTTGAAAATTTGAAATTGATTTGAGCATAGATGCCTCGGTGTGTTGAATCTTCAATCTGTGATACACATATGTCTCACTGCCCTTTCTTTATAGATAAACATGTCACTGTCAGATTAACACTTCTTGTTACATAGATGCTACTGGTGTGTTGTAAACTAATTCAGTAACATTAGCTCATTATGAGGAAACCCGTGAAGATCCGGGTTAGAATTGATCTTCAGTAACCCATGCTTGTCGTAAGAGGCGACTAACGGGATCGGGTGGTTAGGCTCGCTGACTTGGTTGGCACATTTTATCGGTTCCCAATTGCGCAGATCGATACTCATGTTGTTCCTCACTGGATTGTCTGGTCCAGATTCGATTATTTATAGACCGCCGCCATATAGCTGGAATATTGCTGAGTGCAGCGTAAAACTAAACTCACTCACTCATTATGAGGGGGCGATGGGATAGCTTAGTGGTGAAAGTTTTCGCTTGTCACGCCAAAGACCTGGGTTCGATTCCCCCATTCCCCCAACGCAGTGATATTGCTGAAAGTTAACATAAACTCACTCAATCACTCAATAGTTAACAGGTTTTGAGTCGAACCCAGGGTATTCTTCTGAAAACGCTTTCAAAATGAGGATTCCTTTAAAACATTGATAAGAATATGGTGTACCTATGCTGCTGAAAGAACAGAATCGGTCCATTGCCTGTCGGCGAGCATCAGGTGTCCAGCTGGGTGTATTTCTAGTCGGGATGCGCAGGAAAATTTATCTTGAATTACTCGTGTGTAAATAACAAATGATTGTTTTCTTCCACTTTCTTTGAACATTATCCTGTCCCCTCGTTCATCGTGTGTTTGTTTTTAAGGCCACACCCAGCACCAGTCCAGCTGGCAGCAATCTGTAAATAATCCAGTCTGGACCACACAATCCATTGATCAGCATGATGAGCATCGATCTACGCAACTGGGATACAATGACATGTGTCGACCAAGTCAGTGAGCCTGACCAGTCGATCCCGTAACTCGCTTCTTATGACAATCATGAGTTTTTGAATAGGTCGAGTGTTCCTGTGTATGGAGACTGGTGATGAAGGAGTTAATGGAGATCTGCATCTCTGATTCGCCAAGCTGATCCACACATACACACTGTCAATGGCATGCTAAAGGTTTTATTTGTAGCCCATCATATGTTAGTAAAAGCTGCATAAAAAATGTGACGACATTGGCATATATTAACTCTTGTAACACACGTTTCATCCCATAGTTGCATGAGAATACTCTTCAGATATATTAGTTGATGTTTATTAACTGAATGACCATGCATCTTAATTCAAAGATACTGCTCAGTTGATTTCTGCTTCCGCTGTAGTTTTAGTCTAATGCAAGTGAGCGAGACGGTTAAAACATAAAGCCACATCGGCAGCATAAGCGTGTTTGTTGTTTTGTTCATAGTTACACCCTGTACCTTGCAACGTCATTACATAAACGGATATCATGATCTAAAACATGTTAATACATAACACAATACTACATATCACATGTTACAGAACACGATGTTATATACGTCCCTTCTAAACATTTTACGGTGCCTAAGTGGAGAGTGTGTGATGGCTGCAATGGTGCTGTGAAGCTAGTCTGACACAAGTTGTTGATCCAACACACAAAGCATCCATTTGGGATATGTATGTATGACTGTTCAACTTTCTGTTGGCTGATCATTCTGATCAATTTATGCTACACAAATCACTAGGGCTACTGCAGGCAATAAAATCTGAAGTATATACTCAAATTCTAAGAATTTCATTATTAAATCTATGTTTGCACTTTATTCGGACTTTCAGATGTGGTATTCATAGGCATGTTAAATACTGATAATGAAGGTCAATTTCACTGCCATGGTTTTACATTGATGTATTATCTTTTTATTACAATTGCACACAATACCCCAAGTGTTTGACGTCGAATGGAACATTTATTGAACTTCAATGTATATCAAGATGAATACTCTGTTTTTTGGGTCTAACCCTCTGTGAGCTGAAAGCCTTGTTCGCAGGTGAAAATAGCCATACATTCAACTGGCATTCTTGAGTGACAAGACATTTACAACAAAAGTCACATGGCCTGATGTACCAAGAGCATGAGGCCTTGTGTAAAAATGGCTTGTCTGATGTACCAAGAGCATGAGGCCTTGTGTAAAGATGGCTTGTCTGATGTACCAAGAGCATGAGGCCTTGTGTAAAGTTGGCTTGTCTGATGTACCAAGAGCATGAGGCCTTGTGTAAAGATGGCTTGTCTGATGTATCAAGAGCATGAGGCCTTGTGTAAAGATGGCTTGTCTAATGTACCAAGAGCATGAGGCCTTGTGTAAAGATGGCTTGTCTGATGTACCAAGAGCATGAGGCCTTGTGTAAAGATGGCTTGTCTGATGTACCAAGAGCATGAGGCCTTGTGTAAAGATGGCTTGTCTGATGTACCAAGAGCACGAGGCCTTGTGTAAAGATGGCTTGTCTGATGTACCAAGAGCATGAGGCCGTGTGTTAAGATGGCTTGTCTGATGTACCAAGAGCATGAGGCCTTGTGTAAAGATGGCTTGTCTGATGTACCAAGAGCATGAGGCCTTGTGTAAAGATGGCTTGTATTAAAATGTTTTATTTTTATACCCGATAATTTTATTCATAATCGTGAGTTTGTCTAAAATTCGGAGGTGATTATTTAACTTGTAGCTTAGCACTATGTCAGTTAGAGACAGAAGACCAAGTTTTTCCGCAAAATACATCATAAGGGACCAACGATGTTGGAGGACATATTGTTGTGATGCCCTGTGATGCGCTAAGGTCAAAACGTCTTATTATGCATGTTTCCTGTTTGGCATTCAGAAATGGCGGCGATGAGCCCGTTCCTGTTTGTACATGTGATGCAGACATCACACGTTTTTCTGTTGCTCTCGAACTGATAACTTTAACAATTCCTTTACGTTTTAAGGTTTTTATTGCTACATAACTAGTGCAGTACAAGTATACTTCTATAGTTTTCTTCTTACACACTTCTAATATGATAGTGACGCGTGTTGATGGACTTGAAATCATAAGTCTTGTAAGGTGTTTGTGCACCCACAACTGAATCAGGAACATCACACGATCACTCAGGCTGTGTAGTTGAACTTGTTTGATACGGAATAAAGAATACGAACCAATGACCCCTAACTCTCAACTCAACATCTGTGGTGATCACAGTCTAGCTTCAGATAGCTCACATAACAGTGTCACTCTTCTCCCACTCCCACTTCCTTCAGTGGTATGAGGATTACGAAGGATAGTGCTTGATACAATAATGAATTTGATGCCACATGATACTTTAAAAACAACAAAATACATCTACAAGCACGATGTTTCCCTTCCACCTACTCTTGATATTGTTCCTGCATACATGTTTCAGACAAACGACTGTTTGATGAACATATATGTATTAACAATGATAAAAATATAAAATGACATTTTTCTTCAATGAAGTTTAACAGCAAAAACGAGTCATTAATCAGTCATTTCTGATGCCAAAGCTATCAATTGTACACGTGTACTACCGTGATTAGTTCCCCTTAAATGAGAATAACTTGACTGATAC